CCTGATTTAGATGATCCAGAAGAGGATTGGGAGAATGTTATATGCGTCAGAAATGAAACCAAAATAAACGTTTTGGTAAAAAACTCCAACTAGACAGTGTTTAGAGGAGAAAGAATGCTTGAGTTGCATCCAAAGAAACCTCATACCTACTGTGAAACATGGGGGTGGAAACATCATGCCTTTGGAGGCTGTTTTTCTGCAAAGGGACCAGGACGAGACTGATCCGTGTAAAGGAAATAATAAATGGGGCCACATGTATCCGAGTGACGATTTGAGTGACAAATCCCTTCCATCAGCAAGGGCAATTGAAGATGAAACGTGCTGGGTCTTTCAGCATGACAATGATCCCAACAACCACGCCCGGGCAACGAAGGAGTGGCTTCGTAAGAAGCATTTCAAGGTCCTGGAGTGGGCCTAGCCAGTCTCCAGATTCAACCCATAGAAAATCTTTGGATGGAAGCTTGAAAGTCCGTGTTGTCCAGCGACAGCCCACACATTCACTGGCTCTAGAGGAGTCTGCCAATGAGAGGATGGCCAAATACCAGCAACAGTGTGTTGAAAACCTTGTGAAGAGCTTACAGAAAACGTTTGACGAGCCTCTGTCATTGCCAACGAAGGGTATATAACAAAGTATTGAGATTAACTTTTGTTATTGACCAAATACTTATTTTCCACCATAATTTGTAAATAAATTCTTTAAAAATCAGACAATGTGATTTTCTGGATTTTTTTTATTTATTTATTTTTCTCATTTTGTCTCTCATAGTTGAGGTATACCTGGGATGAAAATTACAGGCCTCATCTTTTTAAGTGGGAGAACTTGCACAATTGGTGGCTGACTAAATACTTTTTTGCCCCACTGTATAATATATAGGAATACATGCATGGCAGCATGTCTTTCTGACATAAAATCACTTCTTCTCTTCAGGATCATACTGTAAGAGCTGCACCTGGCCACCATGAGGGCTCTGGCTCTGATTCAAGCTTAGGTAACCAAAGCAGTGCGTCCCCTAACAGTAACAACAGCCAAATGATGCTGAGTATCAGCACAATTGCTTCAGCCATTGCTGATGCGTCCATCAGCACTGACCCATCGCAGCTGGCTGCCATGATAATGGCGCTCTCCAAGAGAAGTAGGGCGATGAATAGACCTGAGAGAGCAGACCATGTTGGACCTACAGCCAACTTTACAGAGGAACCCCACTCGGTGGAACATGTAAGGCCTTGATATTCTATATTTTAAAGTAAGCATTTTGGTTTGATCAACTATGTACTGCACAATTGCTCTCAATCTGGCTTGTTTTGTTGAATTTGAATTTTTATAAATAGCTTTATTACATATTGCATAATATGTTGATTATTTATCTAGTTGTTATTTAAAAAATCTCACTAGAGGAAAACTCAAAATCTTACTTTTGTTTCCCTCTTAAACGTTAAAAAGACCATGTAATGTTTTGTAGTGTCTAATTTGAGATAATACTCTGTATTTACGATACAAGGACAGGTCAACATTGTGAGTGCCCTCTCCTTTTTTTCAATGTTCCCCCTACACAGATCCTCCCTGAGCCAGATCAGAGCAGCCTGCTGGACATATTGCACAGAAGCACCTGTGTTGGAGAGCTGAGTGCCTTTGACATGGAGAAATACCTGAAAATGACGGAAGTGTCATGCAGCCCTGACGCCTCTGTGGCTCACACCACCTTTGACCTGACCGCCTGGGCGAACAACCTCAGCAGCTCTCAAAGGAACCCTCAGGGGGGGTTTCCTGAGGAACAGGGGAGCTCAGCTCAGCAAGTGGACAGTAAGACTCAACAGAAGCCAACAATAACAGAAACTGGGGAGAAAGGCCGAGGAGGAGAGACCTCAATAAACACTAGCTTGTCTACAGAGCCAAATTCATTATCTCCCGGTCATAAGGGTCACTCAAAAAGAAGCTCTATCCCTCGTCCCCGTACATCTTTCAGCTCTGCCAGAAGATCTGTGGGCTCAAGGCAGACTTCAACTCTCACGACACTGGCAGACAAAAGGACTTCCTCTGGCAGGAACCTTACAGAAAATGTCAAGCCAGGAGAATGGAACCAACAGGCCTCCAACAATATTAGATCTTCCTTAGAAACATCACAAAATAGTGAAACAGGATCCTCTTCTACACCTGGAATGCATAAAATCCTACCGGGTTCATCTAAAGGTTCCTCTTCTCCGCCACAGAGGGTGAAGACTGCAGGCCAGCAGCAGCAGCAGCAGCAGCAGGAGGGACAAAGCAATTTTCCAGCAAAGAACATCATGGCTGCTCCACTACCTGGTAGTTCTGTGGAGAAGCATGTCGGATTCTCTGGCCAAAACAACCAGCATCTACTAGACCCTCCACCTGGTGAGTACAAATACAGAAATATGGAGTTTCTAATTCAAACCGTACACATGCAACAGTTGTAAGTACCCTTATTCAAACAACTGTAAAGACCAGTAGCCAGCATATTATTATTATTATTATTAATAATATTAATGCTAATAATACAATTTTCCAAAACAAAGTGCATAACATAGTTAAAGCAGGATTAAAAACAACATAGGATGTATGCAGATCAATTCAAGGTTATAAACAATGATAAAACGGAAATAAAACTGCTAAATGCTATGTTTTGAAAAGTGATTGCACTGATTCGGCAAGCATCACAAAATATGAAAGTACATGATAAGAAAGCATTGTCCCTGACCATGTGAGAACATTGAGATGGCATCTTAAATTGTGTACTGTAACTATACTTGTTTCCCAGAGCTGCTGAAGGGTTTTGCTGAGCCTTGCGTGGATGAGACGCAGTATAACTTCAGACCGTCCACCTCTCCGCTTACTCACTCCTCTCCAAGTCAGACCTCCATTCCCAAAGCTGATGGGTACTGTTCTACAGATGGTTTTCAGTGAATAAAATAAATTAATGATAGTAGATTACATTAAATAGTTATCTTAAAATGGCTTCAGTATAACCACATCTCAAATTGATAAAATAATAACTTAATCATTAATCATAAATAGTCTGTTTAGTTGATTCATATTATTACGGTTAGACACAGGACATTTGCATTTTCAGTCATTATTCATGTATTTCTTTGTTCTTTGTTTTCTTGTCCTAGTATGGTGTCCCCTGATTCATCCAGTGGTTGTCTAGCGGGCAGACATCCAGGTATTGACCTCTCTCCTCAGTCAACCTGCTCCAGCCCCAGTCTCAGCAGGCTCACATACATCTCAATGAATGATGGCACTGTCATACCTACACCTGACAGGCAAAAGGTACCGCAGGACAAACTAGAAAATGCATGCGAATGCTGTAAACTGTGAACATTTGTGGCTGAATTTAGCTGAAAAAGCTGAATATGTTATTAGCTGAATGGTAGCTGCTTTTAGCTACAAAAACCAAGTAAGTGTGTTGCTGAACTTAGTGGAGAAATGCAGAAAAGTGAAATGATTTGAATCAAATTGTTACAGCTCAAATGCATTGCAATGACTTTGTTGAAAACTTGAAAGTGAAATGTTAAACTGGAAAAGCAGGAAAAATAGTGACAAAGCTTAATATTTAAAAGAAAAAGGTATAAACAACAACATGTATAGCCTCAATGTCCTGAAATAGCTGAATAATGTAATAGTTGAATGGTTTCTGCAGCTGAAAGTAGGCGGAAGGAGTTAGATATCAGATGTAAGTAGTAGTGAATGAATGTGTATTAAGAAGAGAAAAGAAAGTAAAAAGGCTTGGGAAAGCTGCAGAATATCTTTGACTGCAAACTTTTCGACTAAAGGCCCGGACACACCAATCTGACAACAAAGAACTGACACACCCCGACTGTTGCGTCGCCTCGCGTCTCTGCGTTTTGGCCATGTGTCGCACTGGAACACACCGCAAAGACTTCAGCCGACGGCCAAGAAGCACGTACGAACTGCGCATGCGTGAGTGGCAATAACTCTTCTTACCACCAGGCGGCGGTAGTGTGTATTCGTCATTCAAAAGAGACAATAACCGGAAGACAGACTGTGTGATAACCGAGAGAAGAAGAACAGACTGCGTGATATAAACAAACAACAAATAGTGTGCATTCCATTTTCACTCTACAGCTAGAAGCTCATGGGGCTTTCCCCAACCTGTGTCGAGAGCTGGAGTTAAATGAAATCTCAGATTTGCTTTCTTAATAGTTTGTTTGGGTCCCTCACTTCCGCTTCGCTTCTCATGCACTGCTGAACAGCCAATCAGAGTGATTTCTTTGGCCGACTGCCATGTTGAATCGGCGGGCAGTCGGCCGAAAAGGCGGGATACATCAATCCAAGTAGGGCGTGTCAACGCTCATCGTCGGCCTGACGCCGATCTTTAATATGTGTTCTTAATTCTTTTTTATTTTGAAATCTCAGATTTGCTTTCTTAATAGTTTGTTTGGGTCCCTCACTTCCGCTTCGCTTCTCATGCACTGCTGAACAGCCAATCAGAGTGATTTCTTTCGCCGACTGCCTTTGGCCGACTGCCATGTTGAATCGGCGGGCAGTCGGCCGAAAAGGCGGGATACATCAATCCAAGTAGGGCGTGTCAACGCTCATCGTCGGCCTGACGCCGATCTTTAATATGTGTTCTTAATTCTTTTTTATTTTCCAACCTAGGAGAGGTTTTCCTACATTTTACATGAAAAATTATTTCTCAGGAGTGTAGGGTTTGGGAATTATGGCAAGTTGAAAACATTTTTTTTGGCGAATTTCAAGCTGTCCTTTGTTTTGAGATCAAAGCACTCTAGAGTTAACGAGCTGCTCAATACACACTAATGTTAAAATCTGAAGAAAGCCTCTTTACCAAGCTCCAAACTAAGTTAAATATCTCAAAGTGTAAAAGATATCAACAATTTGAATAAGAATTGAATAGCTGAAGGTCTTGTGATCATTTTAAATTTGGAATGAAGTGTCTAGCTGAAAGTATGTGGAAGGAGTAGCATTTGGCGCAAGGTGTAGGAAAACAGGATTTGAAGGCATCTCCCATTGACTTCAATGTTAAAAAAAGAGTTTAAAAAGCTGAATATTTCAAAAATTATAAAATATTTTTAAAAAGTTGAAGGTTTCCCATCGATTCCTGAACAGGCTGAATAGTTTAATATTTGAATGGTTTCTGTAGCTGAAAATAAGCTGAAGTTATGGAGTGCCAAAGTATTGGCTGAAATAAGTTTAAGGGGAAGAATAAAGATTTGAAGAACTATAGTGGAATGCTGTAAACAGCATTCGCACTAATAAGGGGAATACAGATTCAAAGAACTATAGTGGAATGCTGTAAATAGCATTCACACTAATTAATGCAAGAATAACCTTAGATGAAACCATACTTAAGCTCCCCTCATGTTACACAAAGGTCTGTACTTACGTGCTGTTTTACAAGGTAAACTTCAGGTCCTGCTAGACACATTTAAAAAAAAAAAAAAAAAAAAAAACCGGGTGCAAGTTTGCCTTCGGGGCACTGCAGAGGTGCCCTTGATCCAGGCACTGGAACCCCAACACTGCTTCCTGGCGCTGTATAATAGCGGCCCAATGCTTTTAATACTTGGATTGGATAAATGCACAGACAACCTTATATTAAAAATGATACGTATATTTAATTTTTCTGTGTATGTATTACTTACAAGTGTCGTATTAATTATCTTGAATTGTTATTCTGTCCACAGAATAACTGTACCATGGCACTGAGCTCCACCATCATCAGGTTCAGTCCAACTCCACCTCTGGATCAAGATGAACAGTCTGCACAAGATATTCTTGGCTTGCCGAAAAGCCTGGACCAGGTGCGACCACAGCATTCTAAAAGTCTGGACCCACTACCAGCACAGCAGAGTAAAAGCCCAGAGCCCTCACGTAGTGCATCTGGTCTGAGCTGCACTCGTAGCCAGAGTGAATGTAACTACAACTTCCCCGGAGACAGACCTGGGGATCTCTCAGCAGGTTACGGGAACCACAAGCACATCTCTGAGTCCAATGTAAGACAGCTCACTAAAGTGGACTCAGGCTATTGCAGTAATCTGAACATTCAGCAAACTAACAGCAGTGCACCTCCAAGCTCTCAGTGGGGAGCTGCTAGCTCAATGGCATCGTCAGTGTATGCTGGTGGCCTTGGAATGCCATCATACACATCAGGGGGACTTCACTATGTACCCATCCCCAGCTTTAATCCCCAGTGTGCTGGCTTGATTGACCCCCCCCACCAAGGAGATATACAGTCCCTTCTTGCTGGACGCTCACTTTTCAACTCACAGCTGGCTCAGCAGTATTTGGGACCTGAAGTTCCATTACATCCTAGTGCCTATCATGTGGGAGCAACAGGACATGGTCTCTTCAGTGTGTCCTCTACAGGCATGTCTTTTGTCTTTGCTTTCATGAATGAGATGTACCAAAACCACTACAAAGTTAATAATGATGCAACATGATGGTTAAAGCCCTAATAATATATAATACAATGAGATAAATTAGTTCTCTCACTTCCATTTTTTTTTACTAGGCATACCCAACACTGAACTAACAGGGAGACACGTCCATTCCACATCAGTTCCTCTGGGGATTCCTGGCTCTGCTGGAACACATCACCTCAATACACCCCATCATGGCCAGCAGGACGCGGGAATGATGGGAAAACCCTTCAGTCAATATGGTGTAGAGCCAATTGGGGCTGGTGGTCTTGAGGATCTGAGAGGTAGCCATGGACTTCACTTCCTTTACCTATTTTATTATATTGTGTACACTCTTGAAATTATTTCCTTCTTAATGTTTTATCTTGTAATACCATAATAAGTCATATGCAGTATTTGGAAAACGGTTTTGTTGAATATAGGACGATAGTTATTCGTTTTGTTTTAGAAAATTGTATCAAGCGTTTTCACTCTAAATTTGTAATTGCTGCAAGATTGTCTCCTTCTACAATAAGACACCACTTCCAACGTGTTCTCCATGGAGTGGCATTATTTCCCTGTATCAGCTCTCCCTGTCCCACTGTCATCCTCAGGACAAGTGGTGGTGCCAGAAGAACTGCGGTTCCCTCACACCTGCTGTGTAGGCATCGCTTCACAAACCTCCCTGAGTCTCTTCAACCCCTCGGAGAGATGGCAGCAAGTAGCAATTACTGTCACCAGCTTGGCCATTGATGGAGAGAAGGTGAGCAGAATTGGCTTGATGCTATACAGTGGCAAAGAGCATAATGCAACAAATATCGTAAAAATTGTATCGTCAGCTTGTAATAACTTGCACAGTTATTTGAGTCTCCTGAATGTGCTCAGAACCAGGTCTAAGCTCAGAGGGGTTCTTTCTCTGTAGCAGCTCCAACACTGTGGAATGATCTGCCCCTGCACATCAGACAGGCCTCCACACTGTCTGTTTATAAATCGTTTCTGAAATCCCAGCTCTTCTCCTTAGTGTATTGACATCTTGTAGATTGTTGCTTTTAAATTGTCTATTGTTTTTTCTTGTACTTGTTTTATGGTGTGTGTGAGCTGAGCTGTGTTACTTTGTTGTATGTTTTGTTTATTTGACTGTACAGCACTTTGGTATGGAGGTTTTAAAGTGCTTTATAAATAAAGCTGTATTGTATGATTGACTGTAAGATTAGCAGTTAACCTGGTTCCTTAAATTGCTTAATAGTTAATATTCAGGGTCACCCCTACTGACAACAATGCTCAAATTCTTACTTCTGTCTTTGTTGCCAACCCTACAGGTGGATAGCCTCCCGTTCCAGTGGCTTATAGTGAAAAACAAGACCATCATTGCCCCCAAGAGTACAGAGGAGCAGAAGTTGTTGTTTATCCCTCCACAGGCTGGTGTCTACCAGTGTGTCTTTAGTGTTTGCTCCTGGCCTGCATCTGCCGAGACAGAGGTTGCAGCCAGGGCCAACATCTTTGCTAAAAGAGTTGTTCTGGTTGCTATAGCAGAGAATCCTGCGCTAGAGGTAAGGGCTCCATTGCAAAGATCACACTCTTCAAAGATTCATTCAACATTGTGTTTTAATATTGTAGAGATTCAATGCTAATTACACTTGTATTCAAATTGAATATGTTGCTTATCAATTGCAAGAAAGGTTCTTAAATTGAGTTTGATTCCCAGGTTGAATTAAATGAATCAGGCTGTCTGGATTTTGGAGACCTTTCAGGAGGCAGTGCCAGATCCCTTCCTCTCAAACTGCTCAACTTGACTCATGCTACAGTGCCCATCCGTCTGGTCATTAGTGCAGTGAGTAAATAGTACCATTTACAAATGTTCTCATTACAAGCACTTGCTTTTCTTTGCAATGCAAAAGCACAGCAGTGAGCATGATAAACAATATCTGAGTGGTTCATTTTTCACATCTCATTTACCCAGAACGCTACAGCCTGGAGGTGCTTCACCTTTTCAAGGCACCCTGTTACCAACACATCTGAGGCGAAACAACAGGCTGGACACATGGCCGCAGTGTCCTCTCCCTCTGTGATGAATCATGTGATGCATGCCAGCAACGAACAGGTTAGAATTGCCCTAATCCTTATAACCTCATTCAGCTTCTTGGTCTCTTATTTTATTATTTTTTCATTCTGCCAGTTTTTGTTTTGTGTTTTTTAACTAAAGCATGCTCAGGCAATTGTGGTATCCACCAAAATGAAAAGTGTTATTGCTGTGATAAGACGGGTAGAGATACAGTGGGGGAAAAAAGTATTTAGTCAGCCACCAATTGTGCGAGTTCTCCCACTTAAAAAGATGAGAGGCCTGTAATTTTCATCCTAGGTATACCTCAACTATGAGAGACAAAATGAGAAAAAAAAATCCAGAAAATCACTGTCTGATTTTTAAAGACTTTATTTGCAAATTATGGTGGAAAATAAGTATTTGGTCACCTACAAACAAACAAGATTTATGGCTCTCACAGACCAAATAATTGAAATCAAAATAGAACTTTTTGGTAAAAACTCAACTAGACGTGTTTGGAGGAGAAAGAATGCTGAGTCGCATCCAAAGAACACCATACCTACTGTGAAACATGGGGGTGGAAACATCATGGTTTGGGGCTGTTTTTCTGCAAGGGACCAGGACGACTGATCCGTGTAAAGGAAAGAATGAATGGGGCCATGTATCTTGAGATTTTGAGTGACAACCTCCTTCCATCAGCAAGGGCATTGAAGATTAAACGTGGCTGGGTCTTTCAGCATGACAATGATCCCAAACACACCGCCCGGGCAACGAAGGAGTGGCTTCGTAAGAAGCATTTCAAGGTCCTGGAGTGGCCTAGCCAGTCTCCAGATCTCAACCCCATAGAAAATCTTTGGAGGGAGTTGAAAGTC